ATATATATATATATATAATTCTAGGTTAGTACACTAATGCAATAGCCTACTTTTTTCCATCCATATTTTTGAGTTATTTATAGTATGTTTCAACTTCTATTTTATTTGTAGTTACATCTATTAATTTATAACTAATATTTTAATCATATTCAATAAAGTTGCAATGGTTGTCTTAAAATTAGTATAATTGCACTATTTGTTAATTTGGTAAGTAACATTACATATTTTATGTAACTGTTACAATAGGATATCATTTCTTCTAGCAATTAGTACAATAAATTTTATTTTTAAGGCAATTATTAGAAGTAAAGTAATACATAGATTTGAATTTGCCTTAGAAATGAATTTGTAAAAATAAATTACAATCATATCTATTATGTTGCGATCATTTGTAGGGATTTCATTATTAATTCATAAAAAATCCTACCTATTTTTTTCTTCAGTCATTTTAATATTAATGTTAGTTTTATTAACTTATGTTATTTTTTTCAATTATTATTCAAAATTAATTTCTTAATTGTTGTAACATAGATGATTTTATACATTAGTCTATTGAGATGCAATGGTTCTTTATTTTACCAGCATATTTGTGAAAAAAAAAACATAAAATCATTCTTATTATTTGTGAAAAAACATAAAATCATTCTTATTATGTGTTCTAATAAAATTAAAACATATGATGTGTTCTAATAATCTAGGCACCACCATGGAAGAGAAAAAAAGAAGAGAAAATATCACTGTTTGAAATTAAAAGCACATCACAACACACTGCAGCACATGAACAACAATTAACAACATAGCAGCAATTGAAATATATTTTAATTTCATTTCATGAAGATATTTTGGTGGTGGACAAGAAATTAACAGCATAGCACCAATTCAAACCACAATTCAAAAGAAATATATTTCACTTTTAAGAAAGATATTTAAGTTTTTAACATCATCTCAAGTCCTTAACATCTAACTCTAACACGTGAACCATTTTTTTAAAAAAAAAATTGTAATTACCATTAGAATCTGAAAGTGGAGTCGATTTCGGAGGCAATACGTCGAGGCGGAGCAACCGAAGCTTTTGTGGCGGACTTCGGAGGTGAGGAGATGGTGTCGAGGCGCTGGAGTGCGATGGGCGTGAGGATTGAGAAGAGGAAACGGTCGTGAGGAGTGAAGACTGAGTAGAGGCGACGGGCGTGATGACTGAGAGAGGCGACGGCAACGACAAAAGAAAATCGACGGGCCTGAGAGACAGAGGGTTGGGCAATTGCGGCTGTGCGTGAGTAGAGTAGAGACCAAAAATTGTAAACCTATCTCTATTCTATTTACTTTATAATTTATATACGATATATAATTTAAATAAAAAAAAAAATTAAAAAGCTTATTATCTTTAATTGAACTCTAAAAAATATAGTAATAATAAAATTTTATTTTCTAAGATAAACTTTTGTGACAGTAAATAGTTGTCATAAAAATTATCATTACTATTGTGATAACTAATATAACCTAAAAATTTGACAAAAAATTTTTAGTGATGAAATGTAGTGGCAATAAAAAATTTTGTCTCTATATCTTAACACTTCTAACTATAGTGACATAAAAATACATGTCACATTATTTAATTGAAATTTTAGTCATGATATTAGTTCTCGTCACTATTTAACGTAACAATTGTGACAATTTTTTTTTCCACTACGGCTAAATAAATGGCGCCAAATTTTTAGTGACAACGTGTAGTGGCAATAATTAAAATTGTCACTAATATTTATCATTCTCAAACCATAGTGACACCGAATAAAATTGTCACAATAGACATATTTTCAGTGACGATATTTGTAATGTCACTAATTTTTTCGTCACTACATGTGTTATTTCTTGTAGTGCTAGTTTGTCACCAACGTGGCCTAGTTCAATTTATGAAATAGATAATTAAATTAGATTAAAGTATCAATTATTCAAATATAAAAGGATGCCTTATTAAAGTCTATCAAATTATATATATGAATAATTGATGTCATGCGTTATCAACTAGGAGGACACCCAAAGGTGGGCTATGAGTTTATAATTTGTGACAACTAAAAGAGAGATTATAATTAAAGTTGGGTTAATTGGTGTGTTTGTCCAAAGATAACCTCTAATTGATCACAATTATGCACTTTCTATTAAGGATTAATATTTAAAAGAGAAGTTATACTTAAAGTGATGTTAATTTGCGTGTTTGTCCAAAGATAACCGCTAGTTGACTTAAGTTTGTATA